AATTACATCTTCTGGCGCGCGCAGGTTCTTCCGCTTCTTGGGAGTCACTATCTGCTTGGCTATGTCGACGGCTCTCTCCCTTGCCCTCCTGCGCTGGTTGACAGCATGCACGGTCCGGTCTATAATCCGGCTCACCGTGTCTGGACAGGGCAGGATCAGGCGAACCTCTCCTCCATCCAGGGGTCGCTCTCTCCGGCCGTTGCTGGGCTTGTTGTCTTCGCCAAGACGTCCCACGAGGCATGGACTATTCTTGAGCGCTCGTTTGCGGCACAGTCGCAGGCTCGTGTATCTGGGCTCCGTCGCCAACTTGGGGAGTGTCAGAAGCTTGACTCCACCGCCACTGAGTTCTACAACAAAGTCAAGAGTCTCGCCGACACGCTGGCTTCCATTGGACAGCCCCTCACCGACTCCGAGTTCAACTCGTTTATTGTCAATGGTCTTGATGAGGAGTATGACACCCTAGTCGAGATCATCAATGAGAGGGGCAACTCAACGCCCATGCCAGCACACGAGGTCTTTTCACGCCTCCTGCTTACTGAGCAACGAGTCGAGACGCGCCGATCCAGGGGCAACGGCGCCCTCTCGGCAAACGCCGCCACCAAGGGTGGTCGCTCCTCTGCTTCATCCAGGGCTCCTTCGGGGCAGTCACCACCACCCGCCTCGGCCCCTCCTCCTACTGCGACGCTACCAGGGGCTGGCGGTCCACGTGTGTGCCAGCTTTATGGTCGTGATGGGCACTGGGCCTCGAAGTGTCACAAGCGCTTCCAGCGGGGTTTTCTTGGTCTCGGCAATGACGGGAAGGATACACGCAACTTTGCTCGATAGGTCGCCATGGCTGATCGTCCGCCGCCGCAGAAGCCACAGGGACACACTCAGTCCTACTCCATTGATCCCCACTGGTACATAGACTCTGGGGCGACAGAGCACCTGACCAGTGAGATGGGGAAGCTTCACACTCGTGAACCCTACCATGGCTCCGACAAGATCCACACCGCCAATGGAGCAGGTATGCACATCTCTCATATTGGTCAAGCATCACTTCTCACTAGACATGCCAATAGGAGTCTTCAACTTCGCAATGTTCTTCGAGTTCCATCTGTGACACGTAATCTTCTTTCAGTTCCTAAACTCACTCGTGATAATAATGTGCTTTGTGAATTTCATCCTTTTGATCTTTTTATTAAGGATCGGGGCACGAGGGACATTCTTCTTAGTGGGCGGCTCTGCCAAGGTCTCTATCGTCTGGAGCATCCTGGCGTCGCTCGTGTCTTCAGTGGAGTTCGGGTATCTCCGTCACAGTGGCATGCTCGTCTTGGTCACCCGGCCACACCTATTGTCCGGCACGTTTTGCGTCGTCATGAGCTTCCTAGTGTGTCTAGTAATAAAGATGTAGCAGTGTGTGATGCTTGTCAGCAGGGGAAGAGTCATCAACTTCCTTTTTCGGAGTCCAGTCGTGAGGTGAAACATCCTTTAGAACTTGTGTTTTCAGATGTATGGGGTCCTGCTCAGACTTCTGTTAGTGGTCATAATTACTATATCAGTTTTGTTGATGCTTACAGCCGCTTTACCTGGCTTTATCTTATCAAACGTAAATCTGATGTGTTTGACATTTTTGTTCAGTTCCAAAAACATGTTGAACGCCTTCTCAAGCACAAAATTGTTCATGTTCAGTCGGACTGGGGTGGCGAGTATCGCAACCTCAACTCCTTCTTTCAGTCGCTTGGGATCACTCACCGTTTAGCATGTCCACATACACATCAGCAGAATGGTTCAGTAGAACGTAAGCATCGTCACATTGTTGAAGCTGGTCTGACTCTTTTGGCCCATGCATCTGTTCCCTTTCGTTTTTGGAGTGATGCTTTCACCACTGCATGTTTTCTCATCAATCGTACTCCCACTCGTGTTTTGAATATGAAGACTCCCATTGAAGTTCTCCTTAATGAACAACCGGACTACACCTTTCTCAAGGTGTTTGGGTGTGCTTGCTGGCCCCATCTCCGTCCATATAACAAGCGTAAGCTCGAGTTTCGTTCCAAGAAGTGTATTTTTCTTGGTTATAGCTCTCTTCATAAAGGATACAAATGTCTTCATGTGCCCACTAATCGTGTCTACATCTCTCGGGATGTTGTGTTTGATGAGCATGTTTTTTCCTTTGCCAAACTCCCTGTGTCCACTACCGAGCCACCTGTCATGCATTCATCCTCTGTTGCTTCTGACCAATTTGATGATGTTGCATATTCTCCTCTATTGTTGCCTAACCATGGTGCAGGCACTGGTCGTGGGGCTCGTTTGGAGATTCTGGAAGTGCCATCTTCCTCTTCGTCGCCATCGCCTTCATCCTCGGCACCTTCTGTTGTGCATGAGGAGCACATGGCGCCCCTGCATGGCCTCGGTTTCCGTGCTCATGCACGGCCGATTGACGTCCTGGCCCGGTCGCCTCTGGCTTCTGGGCTGCCTTCGCCATCGTCGCGCCCTGCAACCCCGCCGACTGGGCCAGCCTCCTCGGTCCCCGTCTCGCCCAGGGCGTCGGGGCAGTCATCACCAGGCCTGGCCTCGCCCGCCCCTGCCTCGCCTAGGGTGTCTGGGCCCTTCTCACCAGGGCCGGCCTCGCCTGCTCTCGCCTCGCCAAGGCCGTCTGGGCCGGTGTCACCGGAGCTGGCCTCGCCCACTCTCGGTTCGCCCATGGCCTCTGAGCCCCTGTCATCGGGCCAGTCTTCGCCATGCAGCCCGGAGTCGTCTGTCCCGAGCTCGCCTGAGGTGATTCCTGCATCTCCGGCGACCGTCACGTCTCCGTCACCTTCGCCTCCGCCGGCTCCTGCTGCTGCTCTACGTCCACATACGCGCAGTCGGAGTGGCATTTTTCAGCCTAAGCAACGTCACGATGGCACAGTTGCTTGGTTAGCGGCGTGCATGTCTGCTGCTCTCGCAGATCCATCCTCTGAGCCACGCACGTATCAAGCTGCTATGCGCATTCCTCATTGGAGAGAGGCCATGGAGCAGGAGTATCAAGCGCTTCTTCGCAATCAGACATGGACTCTTGTTCCTCCACAATCACGGGTAAATGTCATTGATTCCAAATGGGTTTTCAAAGTGAAGAGGCATTCTGATGGGTCCATTGAGCGCTATAAGGCTCGTCTGGTTGCTCGTGGTTTTCGACAGCGTTTTGGACTTGACTATGAAGACACCTTCAGTCCAGTGGTCAAACCTACTACCATCAGACTTCTTCTCTCTCTGGCTGTTACTCGAGGTTGGTTTCTTCGTCAGCTTGATGTTCAAAATGCTTTTCTTCATCGTGTCTTGGCGGAGGAGGTTTACATGCGCCAGCCTCCGGGTTTCTCTGATCCGGATCGCCCTGATCATCTCTGTCGTCTGTCCAAGGCAATTTATGGTCTGAAGCAGGCTCCTCGTGCTTGGCATGCTCGTCTTGCAATGGCTCTTCGTGCTCATGGTTTTGCATCATCAACTGCTGACTCCTCATTGTTTCTTCTTCAAAGGCCTGAGGTTACTATGTACTTGTTGGTCTATGTAGATGATATCATTTTGGTCAGCTCCTCTCAGTCGGCTGCTACTGCGCTTGTTCGCTCACTTGGTGCTGATTTTGCGGTCAAGGACCTTGGGAAGCTTCATTACTTTCTTGGTGTGGAGGTTACTTCTCGTGATGCTGGCCTTGTTATGACGCAGAAGAAGTACTCTCTGGATTTGTTGCAGCGAGCTGGGATGCTTAAGTGCAAACCGACGACTACACCCATGTCTACCACTGATAAGCTCAATGCTGTTGATGGTGTGCTTCTTTCTTCTTCTGATGCGACAGAGTACAGGAGTATTGTTGGTGGGCTCCAGTACTTGACGATCACGCGACCAGACATTTCCTATGCTGTTAACCGAGTCTGCCAGTATCTGCAGTCACCCCGTGACACTCATTGGTCTGCTGTTAAGCGGATTTTGCGCTATATTCGTTTCACGCTGGCTCATGGTTTGCATATTCGGCCGTCTGACTCTGGTTGTCTTTCAGCATATTCTGATGCAGACTGGGCTGGCAATCCGGATGACAGGTGATCCACGGGGGGTTATGCTGTCTTCTTTGGCTCTAACCTGATTGCCTGGAGTGCTCGGAAACAGGCTACTGTCTCGCGTAGCAGTACTGAGGCTGAGTATAAGGCTGTGGCCAATGCCACATCAGAGATCATCTGGGTACAGTCCTTGCTTCAGGAGTTAAGTATACCCCAATCACAGCCTCCTGTTCTTTGGTGTGATAACATCGGTGCTACATACCTTTCTGCAAATCCGGTATTCCATGCCCGAACGAAACACATTGAAGTTGACTATCACTTTGTGCGTGAACGTGTCTCTCAGAAGCAACTACAGATCAAGTTTATTTCTTCCAAGGATCAACTTGCTGACATCATCACCAAGCCATTGCCTTTGCCACAGTTTGAGACTTGCAGGCGCAATCTTACCCTTCTAGATTCATTGGAAAGTGGCTAAGATTGAGGGAGGGTGTTAGACTGTATTTACATGTGTATATTGTAACGTTGTATACCACCTCATTATATATATATATGTAATAGGCCACCCCTAGAGGGATGTGCCGGTTCCCCCCAAAGCCTATTGTCTTACACACATCGAAAATCAGCGTAGGCATATTCTCTGGCCACAAGCACGCATACGCACATGGCTAATGGGCGTGTTGCATCACTAACGCATGGCCTTTGGATTCTGATCCCTTTCGGGCCGAACCTTCTTCCTCGCCGGCCGGGGAGATCACATCCACATATTTTAAGGCCAATGTCCGGACTGAAAAAAATGAAGAAATTATGCAGCATATGGTGCAATGAGACCGGGACTTTGGTAGAGAGTTGAAAATGCGCATGCGCCTGCGCCTATAAATAGTCCTACCTAGTCGCAACCAACACACACACCAAGAGATCGAGAAACCAATCGAGAGTGCAGCCTGACGCAAGCTATATACTCCAGTTAGCTCACAGACCATCATCACGGTCATGGGGTGCAATAGTAGTCTGGCCATGGTCTCCATCCTGCAGCTGTGCTTGATCATCGGTGCCGCCGCCGCTGGCCCGAGCAAGATGGTGAGGCTGGTGCCGGCGATGTACGTGTTCGGGGACTCCACGCTGGACGTGGGCAACAACAACTACCTGCCGGGGCCGAACGTGCCCAGGGCCAACACGCCCCTCAACGGCGTCGACTTCCCCGGCGGCGCCCGGGCGACGGGGCGGTTCAGCAACGGCTACCACGTTGCCGACTTCATCGGTACGTATCTAAGCCATCGATCGTACATATATCAATTCAAGATGCGTCGATGGTCGTGTAACGTGCAACCATGTATTCAGCAATGAGACTGGGACTGAAGGAGAGCCCGCCGGCGTACCTGTCGCTCGCGCCACGCCCCACCGCCCTGCTCCTCAGCGCTCTCGCCACAGGCGTGAGCTATGCTTCTGCCGGAGCAGGCATCCTGGACTCAACCGTATGTTCATTTTGGTCCATCTTTTGCACGTGCATGCTACCTACCATCCACCACGAGTTCCACACGCACGAATGGAGATAAGTGAACAAAGCTAATAATGCATTGCGTGCGTGCATGCATGCAGAACGCGGGGAACAATATCCCACTGTCGAAGCAGGTGCGGTACATGGAGTCAACCAAGGCCGCCATGGAGGCCAGGGTGGGCAAAGCCGCGGCGCGCCTCCTGCTCTCGAGGTCCTTCTTCCTCTTCAGCGTCGGCAGCAACGACATCTCCGTGTTCGCGGCCGCGCCGGGCGACGTCGCCGCGCTCTACGCCAAACTCATCTCCGGCTACTCCGCGGCCATCACGGACCTGTACGGCATGGGCGCGAGGAAGTTCGGGATCATCAACGTGGGGCTTCTGGGCTGCGTGCCGGTGGCGCGGGCGCTCAGCGCGACTGGCGCGTGCAACGACGGGCTCAACCAGCTGTCGGCCGGCTTCAACGACAAGCTCAGGTCCCTCATGGCCGGCCTCGCCGCCCGGCTGCCGGGCCTCGACTACTCCCTCGCCGACAACTACAACCTCTCGCAAGTCACCTTCGCCAACCCGGCGGCATCCGGTACGTACTCCGTACCTCTTGCTGCCTTTCCATGGGAGATACGGATGGGTACTTGATTTTTGCAAATACCTAACTTGAACTTCTCGAAGGAAATTAAACTCTTAATGATGAGCAGTTCGTAGTAGCCGGCGCTTGTATTAACCCGTGATTTGTGCAGGGTACGTGAGCATAGACAGCGCGTGCTGCGGGAGCGGGAGGATGGGGGCGGAGAGCGACTGCCTGCCTAACTCGACGACGTGTGCCGACCACGACCGCTTCGTCTTCTGGGACCGCGGGCATCCCTCGCAGCGCGCCGGAGAGCTCAGCGCCGCCGCCTACTTCGACGGAGCGGCAGGGTTCACCGGGCCCATCAGCTTCGACCAGCTAGCTGGCCCAGAAGATTTAGCTAGCTAGCTAGGTCCGCACTCCACAAGCGCGCATGCTCCTCTACTCGTGCACGTCGCGTTCATCTACTTATTTTTTTACAGATATATACAGTATAAAAGCTACTGGTAGATTAATAATTAGCCGTGCAACAAAGTAATTCAGAGTGTCTGAATGCGAAATGTCACTCTGAAATACTGTTTAAAATACAGTTTAAAATACTTATGCGAAAAATGAGTTCGACGAAGCTGGCCCTACTTGTGACGTTTCGCAGGAAATAATAAACAATACTCGTCAACGTCAGTTTCTCCTGTCTACAAATTGGTCTCTGAAATACTGTTTAAAACAATTTTTGTATGGTGAAATGTCTAAAATATTCTTGATTATTTTTTAGATTTTTTTGCGTGGAATTATATTTTAGAGTTGTGATCTGGTACGAGCGTACGGTTGATTGTTGTGGTTTACAGTCAATCTTAGCCATTGACTTACAACTAGAAACCACCAGTGATGCTAAAGCTGATGCTAATCAAAAACTTTGAGCTCATTCGGTTTGGATATTTTTTAGGACTCCCACCTGTTCCTCGGCCACGAGGTTTCCCCCTATGCGCCACAGAAACTGGAGGCACTAGATTGACGAAAAATTGCACCAGTCGCACGCATGGGAACCACATGTTCAGTCACCAACTTATTGCGGACGTTCCATGGCATCCAGACAGGACCACCCACAACTACCCAAAGGATAGGCCGCGAGGGGGGGGGTGTCGGTGTCAAAACCGGCGGATCTCGGGTAGGGGGGGGGGCGTCCCGAACTATGCGTCTAAGGCTAATGGTAAGAGGAGGCGGGGGACACGATGTTTACCCAGATTCGGGCCCTCTCTATGGAGGTTATACCCTACTTCCTGCTTGATTGATCTTGATGATATGAGTATTACAAGAGTTGATCTATCATGAGATCATAGAGGCTAACCCTACAAGCTAGCCTATGATTATGATTGTTGTTCCTGTCCTACGGACTAAACCCTCCAGTTTATATAGACACCGGAGGGGGCTAGGGTTACACAGAGTCGGCTACAAAGAAGGAAATCTACATATCCGAATCGCCAAGCTTGCCTTCCACGCAAAGGAGAGTCCCACCCGGACACGGGACGAAGTCTTCTATCTTGTATCTTCATAGTCCAACAGTCTGGCTAAAGTATATAATCTGGCTGTCCGAGGACCTCTTAATCCAGGACTCCCTCAGTAACCCCTGAAACAGGCTTCAGTGACGATGAGTCCGGCACGCAGATTGTCTTCGGCATTTTAAGGCGGGTTCCTTCTCCGAATACTTGAAAGTAGATCTTGAACACAAGAATCGTGTCCGGCTCTGCAAAACAAATTCCACATACCACCGTAGAGAGAAGAATATTCCACAAGTCTAATCTGCTGACAATTTCTTTATAGCGTGACATCATGATACGGCCCGGTCATAATTCGAACCATTTTCCCAGCCTGCTACTGCATGTTTCGTGAGGCGGTTTTATTGGCACGTCTTGTCGAAGCAGAGATCGTGTCTCCTTATCACGGGATTCTCATCAATACGGGTGTGGGTAACCCCACCGTGCCATAAGCACGACGCTTGGGGAATAAGCGAGTTCTAGGGCAAGTGGGGAGGTGCATGATTTTACTTCCTTTATAAAGGGATAAGTATTCCCCTTCTTCACCCACGCCTTCTCCTTCCTCTGCTCATCCATTCTCGAGCTCCAACGCCCAAGCTTTCGCCTTCTCTGCAAAAACATTCCGAACATGTCCGTTGCGGGAGGCAAGTGGATGGCCTCCTCTGTTAAGCAGCAGGACATCAAGAAGCTCCGGGAGGCCGGATACTTGGCCAAAGACATAGCTCATCGGCTTCCGGCCAAGTGATAGATCATCCCCACCCCGGAGCCCCAGGAAAGGGTAGTGTTCCTCTCCCACTTCGTCCGCGGGCTGGGATTCCCCCTCCATCCATTCGTCCGCGGACTAATGTTCTACTACGGGCTAGACATCCATGATTTATCCCCCAACTCCATCCTCAACAACTCGGCATTTATTGTCATGTGCGAGGCTTTTCTCCGCATCCTACCTCACTTTGGCCTATGGCTGAAGACCTTTAACGTGAAGCCAAAGGTAGTGAGCGGCCAACAAGCGAAGTGCGGAGGCACCATGGTGGGCAAGATGCCCAATGTTATCTGCCCCGAAGGCTCCTTTGTGGAGACTGTGAAGGGGTGGCAATTGGGGTGGTTCTACATCACCGAGCCGCGCGCCACCAATTGGGCGGCGACCCCCGAATTCCTATCCGGCGTCCCCATGTGGCTTACCTCTTGGCAAGAGAAGGGCTTGGCCTGGGGCTCAGCGGAAGAGTTGTTTGGGCTCCAATCATGTATCTAGAACATGATAAGCAAGGATATTAAGCTTGTCAATGTGATCCAGGTTATGCTCTTCCACCTAATTCTCCCATGCTAGGATCGGGCTTGTTGTTTGTGAGAGTTCGATCCGGCCGAGCACCAGACGCTACTAGAGCTCTTTGATACGATGCATGAAGACGCCTGGAAGGTGCTCTTCAAGGCCGGCGAGGTACCACCGCCCAGTACCAAAAATCGCGGGCTCAGCGCGAAAGGTCGGGCTAATCCGGTAAGTTTTTCATGTTTGCAAGATGTATCTTTTGCTGGCTCATCTGCTGGAGGAACCTAAGCCTCCATGCCAATCTTTCAGGCTTGGGTAACGATAGCGGAGTAGATTAACTGTCCGGCTCCGCTACCAGAAGATCCAGAAACACCTCTCCTGACGAGGATGCTATTTCCGGCGCCCTACGAGGTGCCGGAGAAGAAAGCCAAGATGGCGGCCACGGGGACCAGAGAGGGTCTCCGGCGCAAGGCTGCTTCCGACGTGACGTCCGAAGACACCGATACAAACTCCTTCGCTAAGGACGACGAGGAAGAGGAGGAAATCCCCCTCCCCCTAAAGGGGGGAGGAAGAAGAGGCTGGCCTCCACGCACGGGGAGGCCAAGGCGTCCAAGAAGGCAAAAACCTACCACCCGGACTACTCCACCGCAGCCACCAACAACAGCGAGGAGTGGGAGACCAGGGCCAAGCCCATGGCCAAATCGTAAGTATCCGGACACAATAGTATTTCCGGTATTTTTTTGCTTTATTGCTTATTAATGCACCAGACATGCACCTGCCGTTCGGCCAAATCCAACATCAAGATATCCTCCTCTTCGAAGGGATCGCTGGACCCGTCGGCGATGAACAACAAGTCTCTTCCTACGGCCTCCTCCCCTAAGGCCGCGGACCACATCGAGGTGTTGTCTCGAGGGATACGAGGCCAAGGGGAGACGCCGGAGGGTGAAACCCCGGTTGCCGAACACACGGGGAGAAAGACCCCCGTGGACACTGATAATGGGGGCCACAGCCAGCTTGGCCCCCTGCCGAATACGGCTCCGGAGACCCAAGTGGCTCCGGATTCAAGCAGGCAGCCTCTCCCGAACAAGGGAGGCAAGCCTCCTGTACCGGTGACCTCTGTCCATCCAGAGGCACCAGATAGCTTGTTGGAAGCGCTTCGAGGCGCTTCCATTGATGAAGAACACCGTACTCTGATGAGTATGGTGATCGAGAAGATCCAGTCCACTAAGAGGGGACTGACCGAAGCCTGCGCTAGCCTTCTAATAGGCTTTGAGGTAAGTAATAAATTTGTGAGAAAATATCACAGTGTAGACAGTAGCCCCTGATGCTATGTTTGGTGTTCGGGAAGAAAAAGTCGGACAGAGGATCAAATAATATTCGCAGGAGTCTAACATAAGATGTCTATGTGAATAAGCAGGCGTCGTTGCTAGCCGTTGCCGCTCGTACTGCAGAGGTCTCTAGACTAAAGCAGGATCTCGAGCGGACCGAAGGAGAGCTCGGCCTCGTGAAAAGGCAGCTGGAGGAAAGCCAAGGTATGTAAAACCCTGCATGTATACTTATGAAGGATAAATGGTTCATGCTGATTAGAGCGTTATGAATTTTATTAGGGGCCCCGACCGAGGTGGCGGCCCTTAAGAAGGCATTAGCCCAGGCCGAAGACAGAGCGGCCAAGGAACACGCCGCTTGTGAGAAGCAGGAGGCTCGGGTCAGCGAGGTCCAGCAATAGCTCCAGGATGCCGTCAAGAAGTACGAATCCTTGGAGTGTGTCTCAAAGACTCTAGAGTCCAAGCTTGACAAGGCCCTCCAGAGCGCGCAAGACGCCAGAGCCAAAGCCCAGAGGGTCCTCCAGGAAGTCCAGGCGTCCAAAAAGATTGCGGCAGGTATGGCTTTTCTTATGGAAAGCAAGCATGTGAAGGAGACATTCTTTTTACTTACCCGAATTTGGAGTTCTCCAGGAGCGTTTGTGGATCTGCCGCACATCATATCAGATGCTGCCGAGTTCTACCGAGCCGAAGAAGGGAGCTCGACGGAGAAGCTGCTCTGGTCTCAATACCTTGAGCCAAAACCTCTGACGCCCTTAAGCGACCAACTGAAACAGCTAGTCGAGCTGCACAAGGAAGCTGAACTGGCCATGAAGGACCTCATACTTCGGTTATGGCCTGCCGAGCCTATGCCCAGCAGCTACTTCTGACTCGTGAAGCGGCTTGTGAGTGCCTGCC